TACGTACATACATACTCTACAAATAAGATAGATAAATAGATCATGAAAAGATTGAGATAGATCGATAGATAGATATGAACAGACTGACATAGATAGATAGATAGATAGATAGATAGATAGATAGATAGATAGATAGATAGATATGAACAGACTAAGATAGATAGATAGATAGATAGATAGATAGATAGATAGATATGAACAGACTAAGATAGATAGATAGATAGATGAATAGATAGATGAATAGATACGAACAGACTGAGATAGATAGATAGATGAATAGATGATAGATAGATAGATAGATAGATATGAACAGACTAAGATAGATAGATAGACAGACAGATAGATAGATAGATAGATAGATAGATAGATAAATAGATGAATGCGAACAGACTGACATAGATAGATGAATAGATAGATGAATATGAACAGACTAAGATAGATAGATAGATAGATAGATGAATGGCTATGAAATAGACTGAGATAGATAGATAGATAGATAGATAGATAGAAACAGATTGAGATAGCTAAGAAAGAAAAGACATAGATAGATAGAGAGATAGATAGAGAGATAGATCTTGAATAAAACGAGATAGATAGATAGATAGATAGATATGAACAGACTGAAATAGATAGAAACAGATTAAGATAAATAAAAAAAGAAAAGGCATAGATAGATAGATAGATGCATGCAGTAATCATTTAAAAAAGAATAAAAAGCATGCCAATTATATAAAAGTCAACGGCGGAATTACAAGAACGCAAATAAATCAGCTGAGTTTCTCTCTTGTCTATTATTTTCGTAATTTTCCTTCGGTTTTTCTTTTTCCATTACATGAAGTGGCTTCAAATTTTTTCTTCCTTTCGTTTTGCTTTACTTTTCACCTTCAATCTCTTCTCATTCAAACACACTGAAATGGCTTTCCCTACTCACTGCCATTCGTTAAGCGAAATTGTTATCTGATTAGCTCGTAATTCTTTCTTAAAATATCAACAGAATGAGTTCGTTTTTTTGTTCAGCCATTTTGGAATGACTGACGGACACAGGACAGTAGGAGACGCACGCCTTTGGCCAATCTACTGAGAACTCCGCATATATATATATATATATATATATATATATATACCTGCGTAGTTCTCAGTAGATTGGCCAAAGGCGTACGTCTACATATATATATATATATATATATGTATGTATATATATATATATAAGTGAACATTGAAGTCAACACTTAGAGGCGACAGTCTGTTCCATGCTAGTCGCAATCGTCAGTAAAAAAAAGGGGTTGATAAACAGTAAAGAAAATCAATCCGTCAACTGTATTAGTAACCTCATATTACTTATTTGTAGTGCAGTGTTCATGGCCTGACGATTGCGTCTTGCATGAAACGGCATGTCTCCTCTTAGTGTTGACTTCAATTTTCACTTTTATATTTACACACGCTCTATCTCTGATATTGAGCACTTTCTCCCATAAATATAGCACACCTTAAGAGTATATTTCTTCATATATATATATATATTAAGACATTTTATGTTTATACATTCTTTTTATAGATACAAATATTTAAGTAAATGCTCTGTTTATAATAAACAGTATTAAATAACATCTACCGGCCTGAATATCCGAGAAATTTTCATAGAAAATATTCGTCCTCCGACAGGGATCGAACCTGTATCCTATACGGAACCTTAATTTAGCCTGACGTGCCTTTAACCGATTTGGCCACAGAGGAGCGATCGGTTAGCAAGGACGAATTTACTGTATTTAAACTTCAATCATCCATGAATCTCTCACCTACATTCATATCTGCTCATGGCGTATCAAATGTAAACAAATTATGAAATGGACAAAGTCCGACAATTATCTTACTTATTATAAAACGCAGGTTGTGTGTGTGTGTGTGTGTGTCTGTACGTTTATATATTGGATCGGATTTCCTACATTTTTCAACCGATTTCAACAAAACTTCACAGGACTACGTAAAATTACCTTGCGGTGGTTCTGACAGTGCTAAAAATTGGAAAAATACAATTGTTCTTGCACGAAATCAATTTGAAAACACGATTAAGAGGCATCTCGAGAATGAAAGGGGTACAACTCATATCGAGTTATACTTATAAAACCCAGTTTGTTTGTGTGTGTGTGTTCGTTTATATATGGGATCGGATTTCCTACATTTTTCAACCGATTTCAACAAAACTTCACTTTTTTTGGCAGGTAGTGTTTCTTATTGTCTTGCACACTTTTTTCTTTATTTTTACATTCAGAATGCTTTAAAAATTCCATTTACAAGACAATTGTTTATAATAAAATTCTATTCAATCGGTAGACTCATAACGATTGAAAACAATGTTTTTGTTTGAGTTTGGGTTTGACCAATTCGTAAAAAGAAAAAATATAATTAAGACATGCGTGTCCGTCAAGCTTAAACAATAATCTTTGTCAATTTTATTTTTCAGTCTTTATGATGGTGGATACTTGATCTATCTCTTACTGTTACATCCCCGGACAACGCCGGGCTCTACTGCTAGTAATTATATATGTCTGTGTGTTTGTGTGTCCGAGTGACGTTAGTAAATTTAAGTTCTAAATGCTGATTTTCATGGCCAATATGCTGTCGCTACTGAATAGATAGGCACAACTGAATCCCATTGTTTCGCATTTATCCACTGATTTCATTTGCGCTAAACCTCCGTAAGAATAAAGTGTGCTTTAATATTTTTTCTATTTCATTATTTCGTATTATTGTTGGACGTTGTAAATGCAATATTCATTCAGAAAGAAATAGTCTATTTTACAATTCAGAAACGTTTCAATTTTAAATAACAAAAATATAATACACTAAAAAATTGGTAAAACGTCAAAGAACGATGAGAATCTTACCAAAAGAGAAAACATGAAAGGACAAAACAAAAAGAAAAAAAAAAACAAGAAAAAAAAAACAAAAGAAAGAAAAAAAAACACAGATATTTATTTACATTAAAAACACAAAAGATCTGCGGTCCATATAACATCAGGACAACCTTCAAAAGCTTGACGACACTTCGCAGATATTTCTTCCGAGGAAGACCCCACCCCATAGAGGAGAACATGACTAAAGACTGTATGTACGCTATCCCGTGCAGCTGCGGAAAGGAATATAAAGGAGAAACAGGCCGCCCCCTCAAGGTAAGGCTTCAAGAACACCAGAAAGCTATAACACAAGGGGAAGCAGAAAAAATCAGGCGTGGCTGACCACATATAGGGAGAAAAGGGACAGCACCTCCACCTGTGGGATCAGGTTGAAATAATAGATAAACAACATCATTGGAAAATTCGTAAACTTAAGGAATCAGTACATATGTTGGGCCACAAAAATCTCCTGAGCCGATCAAGCATAGAAATGAATATATTATGGGAACCAGTAATAAAGAGAGGCCAGAAAGAAAGCAATAATAACAACGAAAATTGCAATATGAGCTCTGGTAAAAAAACGTGCAATGATAACAGCAAAAAATTTATAATATGAGCACAAGTAAAAAAAATGTTCGCTGAAGACATTAGGTTTATAATAGCCAGAAATTCATACACAGATGTCCTCAATAACACATAGCACATGACGTTAGTTAGATCCAGTGACAAGATCCAGAGAGTGTGAGTTCAATACCTGGTTAAGGCAGTGGAGAACTTGGAGAGGGCAATTAACAGGAGATAACTGATAACTGACATCCATTAGACATGGCACGTGGAACTAGAACAGTCGAGCAAAATGAAGGGTTCAGTTCGACATTCCAATCATCTGAAGGAGGCCGAAGCGTACAACGGCCGAAACGTTGTAATAAATATGGCAACAAAGATGAGGACAATAGTCCGAATAATGTAAATAGTGTACATAATACCTCATCTCAGAAATATAGACAGATACTGAAAGACTGAAACGTTGTAATAAATATGGCAACAAAGATGAGGACAATAGTCCGAATAATGTAAATAGTGTACATAATACCTCATCTCAGAAATATAGACAGATACTGAAAGGCCGAAACGTTGTAATAAATATGGCGACAAAGATGATGACAATAGTCCGAATAATGTAAATAGTGTACCTCAGCTCAAATATATATATATATATATATATATATATATATATATATATACACATATTAATAGAGATCTTATAAGTATAAGAAACTGTACTCGCTACTGAGAACCTTCGGTATATTGATTTGCAAATAAACAAATCAATACCAAAAGGGAAAAAAAAGGTATATAAAAAAGAAAGAACCAAGAACATGTACGTTAACCGAAAATAATCGTTCAGTATACGAGTTCAAGGCCCAAAGAAAAAAAAAACCGATGCGAGTATCCAAAACAACTAAATAAGGTGCTCAATACAATGAGTAGGGCAGGCCTAGTTAAAACTAGAGAGCCAGACAAACCTACCAAAGCCTTCCTGACGATCCGCATAGGTGAAACCTTGGTAGGTTTGTCTGGCTCTCTAGGTTTATTTATATATATATATATATATATATATATATATATATATATATATATATATATATAATTTATAATTATTTAAAAAATATTATTCAACTCGCGACATAAGAGGTTTCATGTTTCAAAACAAGAGTCGAAAACTTTAATATAATTGATACTTTTGTATCGAGCACTATTTTTAAAATAATAACTAAAATACTAAGGAACTTTGGATTATTTACCTAACCAGTTCCTTCCTATTTTCTATATATTTTCATATTATATATATATATATATATATATATATATATATATATATACTCAATTCGGCCGAAGTAAGATAGATAGATAGATAGATAGATAGATAGATAGATAGATAGATAGATGCCACTAAAACACAAGGATCTACTGCGAGTGAAAGAGAATGAGAAGACTTAAGAAGGTACCGGAAACCCAATCCTAAACAGGAAACAAGGGATAAAAATCTACACTTGTTAAATAAAAACGCCTACTTCTGTTAATCTCATCATCGTATTTTTGCATAACCAAGTCCTATAGCTTGTCCAAACAATTACCAAGAAAGTATTTATAGAAAAGGCACAGAGAAGCAACATTACGAAGGTGAGAAAGTGACTGAAGCTGAGATGTCAGGTTAGGACCAATAATATTGCTGATTCTTTTTAGGATCTTATCAAGAATCTCTAAATATACAACAACATACAGAACCGGACCATATTTCTTAGAATATTCAAAGTATGAACGAATGGTAGACTTATAAATATGTGACATAGATTCAGGGGTGTGGGAATTGTCTAGCAGAGTGAAACAAAATTCATAGCAGCAAAAAATGTTAAGGTTGCAGGTTGATATCTGTCCTCCCATATGGCAGCGAATACAGGACAATGTCCCCAAAGATGAAGAATAGACTTGAAGCAACAGAAATGTGGTTCTACAGAAAGATGCTGAGGATACCATGAACCTAACATGTGAGTAACGACGAGGTTTTTTGAGAAAAAGCAAAACAGAAAACTTATAATTAACATCAGGAAGAGACAGTTGAAATAACCGGGGAAAGCAATAAGAAAGGTTTGGTTTGGTTTGGTCTGGTCTGGTCTGGTCTGGTCTGGTCTGGTCTGGTCTGGTTTGGTTTGTTTTAAGGCATATCAACCTCATTGGATTATTTAATGCTGACAAAATTTTTATTGGTGGTAATATTTTTATCTATCTATCTATCTATCTATCTATCTATCTATCTATCTCAGTATATATTGGTGTGGTTTGTTTTGATTTACGGCATATGAACACCTCAATGGGTTATTTAATGCAGACAACATTTTTATTGCTGGTAATATTTTTATCTATCTGTCTCAGTGTGTTCATATCTATCTATCTATCTATCTATCTATCTATCTATCTATCTATCTATCTCTGCTTTTCCATCTATCTATCCAATTCTATCTATCTATCCAATTCTATCTATCTATCTATCTATCTATCTATCTATCTATCTATCTATCTCTATCTATGTTGGTGTCCACGGTATCTGTAATGTCCGAAACATTTGGTTTGGTTTGGTTTGTTTTATTGCATATCAACCTCAATGGGTTATTTAATGCCGACAACATTTTTATTTCTGGTAATATTTTTTCTTCAAAAATGTATAGCCGGTACTTTTTGTTTTTCAAAAATCTATTACTGGTAAAGAATTTCTGGTATTAAAACCTATTTTTAAACTTTCATAATGTTTTCAGCGAGGGTTGGGGGGTAACTATTTGCCCATAGCTGGGATCCTAACAGGTGCTACCACCCCGTGTCAGGGTGGATCTGGGAACACCAGCAATTAAGAGGTGGTTCTACGTTCCTCAAAACCTCCTGATCAGAGGCCTTACTGTTGGACGTAGTTTATCGTCTTACCCAGGACGCGGATGTAGTTTATAGTCATACCCAGGACGGGAATAAGGAAGGACGGCTTGGAAAATATGATACTCACAGGAGAGATTGAGTGCAAAAGAGACAGTGGGAAGCAGTATATAATATATTAATAGTCTATTGCTACTGTTTACATTATATTTACGTGCGGAGCAAATAGTGTTTACGTAAAAAAAATAGATATCTTTTCCAGGAAATTTTAGATGGCGACCGGAAATAACAGAATAAATATAGAATAATTTATTCTGGTATCTTCAGACAAATTTGAGACTTTGCGTTGAGCTGGTCTGTCATTCTAGGTAACGGTAGGATCGATCTGTTTGATGTGGGTATGATATTACCCCATTGGGAATATGGTAACGACCCAGAGTCGTAGATTTCTATAAACATAGCAGCAGATGAGTCCAAATTGCAAATTACAAAACGGTAAATACCAAAATCAGGCAGGTAAAAAAAGATTTAAATATCTGGGAAGTTTTTTAACAGAGGACGGAAAGTGCTACACTGAAATCCGATTGGGATGGAGAAAGATGCCTTCCAAAAGCTAAGCAGAGTATTAAGAGACAGGAAAATTTGGTTAAAAACAAAGACTATTGAATTGTTACGTGATATCTGTCCTCCTGTATGGCAATAAATGCTGGACAATCGCCTCACAGATGAAGAAGAGACTTGAAGCAACAGAAATGCGGTTATACAGAAGGATGCTGAGAATACCATTGGCCGAACATGTGAGCAACGATGAGGTTTTAGAGAAAATGGAAGCAAAAAAGAAACTTATAATTAACATCAGGAAGAGAGAGTTGAAATATCTGGAGAATGTAATGAGAAAGAAGGGCTTGGAAAATCTGATACTCACAAGGCGGATAGAGGGAAAGAAGAAAGCAGTGTGTAACATATTTGATGAGCTTGAGTAAATGGATCTTAGAACGAGGTGTGGGAGAAATAATACGACAAAATTTATCAAGAGCTGCAAAGCACAGGACGGTATGGAGGACCATGATCGCGTACGTCATTGAGGGGCACCACACATAAAAGAAGAAAAAAATCACAGAAACAATATATTTTCTTTATCGAAATCCTGAGCGAGGAAAATATATTAAAATTCGATCCTGTTATCAATAAAATATTATGTGGCACACGTTAATTAAAATGTAAAAAAGAGATGATTACGCATACAAGATGTCGTATATTTAATCAAGACGCCCGCCATTTTGTCTTGCACTTGCCTCTTTTTCATGTGCAATGCCTAAAGATATATTTAAGAACTTTTTCTTTCTTTGTGTATTTAAGAAATGTTCATCATTTGTTGTCATAAATTCTTTCCAAGATCTTTTTTCCAATACGTGTGTTTCGGTCGTGATAAACATTCTTTTTTTTTTTAACGAAACCGTTACTGTCATTTTCAACATGGTCTCATTAAAGAAAATCGTATACACTCTGTGTATGTATGTATGCATGTATGTATGTATGTATGTGTGTTCATTCATTCAAAATATTGCTTCTCATTTGGAGAGACACCTTAAATCTTTTAAAGATTTTTTTGTGTTCAGCATGAAATTGACAATTTCATCTTCAACTGACAACGATCTTCATTTTTTTTTTAATGTTTTATTCATAAATGATATTTTATCAGGTTGTTCAGAATTCTGTAATTGTGTTCGTGAATTTATGTGTGTGTGACGGAATATAAACAGTAACAATGTAAGTATCAAAGGGAACAAAAAAATGTTTATACGCACAGAAACAAGATAGAGGCCGCCAGGCAGGCACACAGACAGACAGATAGATAGATAGATAGACAGATAGATAGATAGACAGAGAGACAGACAGACAGATAGATAGACAGAGAGACAGACAGATAGATAGATAGATAGATAGATAGATAGATAGTGTTACGTGTTGATAATTGTAACAAAGGAAAAAATGATTTACCACGACACAGAGCTAAATCACAAACAAATATTTAATTTACTAAAACAGAACATAAAATATATACAAGATAAACAATTGTGGCTTACAAAATAGAAAACACAGAGTTTCTGGCGGAAGTGTTACGAGGGAGAAGGAAAGGGAGTCAAATATCTTTATCACTTTAGGGCTAGTGAAGTAATGTAAATGCTATATTTGAAAATCCACAAAGGTGTGTAAATAAATATTAATTTTAGTTTGGTCAATGAAAATTAGTCAAAATTCTATTTACCAAATTTGTTCCATGAAATTCTCTTTTGGGTTTTTGTTGGTCGGCAACTTTTTATAGAGATTCTTTCAGGCTGGATATAATAGTCCTTGAATCAAAAGCCGGAGTTGATACTGACAGCAATTTGTTTTCATCAACTGACAACCCTTTTTCAAAAAATCCCATTTTTATAGGGGCTAACACCTAATTTGCATATTTCTAGATGTTTCTCGAATCATCTAGATTTTTCTCGAATATAGTAGAATGATCTAGAATCTTCCAAACATTCTATTTCTAATTTCTCTATTTTACAACTATTTCATGAATGAAAACTTTTTTGTAATAACAAGTAGAACTCAGTGGAATCCCTTATTATAGAAATGCATCCTCGTAACAATAGATAGATAGATAGATAGATAGATAGATAGATAGATAGATAGATAGATAGATAGATGAGATAGATAGATAGATAGATAGATAGATAGATAGATAGATAGATAGATAGATAGATACGAACAGACTGAGATAGATAGATAGATAGATAGATAGATAGATACGAACAGACTGAGATAGATAGATAGATAGATAGATAGATAGATAGATAGATAGATAGATAGATAGAGAGATAGATAGAATAGATAGATAGATAAGGGATGGTGCTGGCGATAAAGAAAAAGAGTGAGGGATACAGAAAGTGAGGGAGGGGAAGAAAGAGTGCGACAGAAAAAGAGTGCGAATTGCGCATTATACACTGAGAGAAATGTCTTACAAGTCGAAATGTTGTTTGAAGCTCAGCATTTTTAGCGTTTTCCGTAACCAAAACGATAACATTTAATATCTCTATTTTAAAACAATAAATCATTTGTTAATTATTCAGCACAAATTTAATTCCATTAAATTCGGCTTTATCTATTTAGGTCAGTGTTTCTCAACCATCGTGCCGCGGCACACCATTGTGCCGCTCGATCCTCTTAAATGTGCCGCGCGAAAATCTGATTCGATTCGAAATTCCTTCATAAATATCCCTTCTAATATTGAACTTTATTTATGTGAAGAAGAAGAACTGTCTACCATTTCTAGAGATCGATGGCTCAAAATGAAATATTCGATGGCACCCATTGATTGATTTTGGATTTCAATAGAAAAGGCAATATCTCACATTAGCTAAAAAGGCCTTATCAATTTTACTGCAATTTTCTACTTCTCAACCGTAAATAACATCAAAGAATCGAGAAAGACTCCGCTCAATTGAAGAAGAAATGTGGGTCTGCTTATCGTACAAATATTGAAGAAATCTGAAAATAACACCAGGCACAGGTTTCAGACTAAATAATCTGCACCAATAGTTGAATAAAAACATTGAAAGTTCATATTTGTCTGTGTATTTTATTTATTTCATAACATTTAAACTTTACCAAGTTGCATTCTTAACATTACT